AATCCCGATTTCTATATACCCTCCCACTTTTCAAGCGGGGGGTATAATAATATCAGTTCATCGATTTCAAATAAATCATGGTGGTCAGTACCTGATCATGCTATTTTGTCTATGAAAGTAAGAATTCTCGAAAAGATTTATCATCACACTAACAGTCCATCGCTGAGTACACCCTTTCCGTAGACAACGAGAAGAATTCTGCATTTTGTTTGTTGTTTATTTCTTACTATTAGTATTTCGTTGTGTTTTGTTACATGAAATACGTCACGTGCATTGTGTTTTCCGTTGCTCTATTATGACGTCGCAATAAAAAGCTTTCTCTCTTGTTTTATTGCTCAAACATCAGTGCACTAGCCAATCAAAACGTGTTTTACTAAACAATTGCATTAGAATATCATATTTTCATCAAATAACAGTGGTTTTCCACTTTTTGTTGTGTCTCGGAAAAATTTACACACCGTGGAAAAAACGAACATACCAATTACAAATTACTGAACTAAATATATTCCAATGTGTGTGTGTGTGTGTGTTTTTGTTTTTGACCAAAACATCATAAGACGCCTCGGTCAATATTGATATAATGAATTTTTTTCTAGTGAATAACAAACCATATTTTAACACCAAAAGAGTCCATAATTGTATAATATTGTTCGAAAAATATTTTAAAATTTTGTTATTCTTTTAATCGCTTTGGTTTCAGATTTACGTAATAAATAACATCACAGTACTGTTTTGATCTCGTCCGTGGTATCAGCCCTCGGATGGTCTCAGCCTGCGCCCACAGGCTTGGGCCGATACCAACCGCTCGGGCTTATTCCAGGACAGAGGTCAAACCGGCAGTGTGATATTCTATATATCCGATTGACAGCCAGTGGATAAGCGTTTTACTATACTGATGTATATAATAATGTTTGAGGGTTGGATTCAAGGAAACTACAGTTTTACAGGCAAAACATAAAAGAAAAACAAGAGGCCCGCGGGCCTTATAGGTCACCTGAGTATTGTGTAACAACTTGCAAACAATTAATTTTGGTTCGTGTTTTAAACCAGAGGCCATGAAATTCCCAATTCATAATTTTGAAAGAGGCACCGTTGCATATCATAATTATAAACTTACCATGCTTACTCTATTTACTTAATACCCAGAGGTAGATCAGATTAACAAAGAAAAAGTGCAGTTCCACTTTACAACCAGTTTTGCACACATATGAGCAAATTTTATCATAAAATGGTTGATTGATACCAAAGAGCAGATTTCAAAGCATTAATTTTTTAAGACTATGTACCCCCCCAACCGACCCAAGGGGACATTAAAAATAACAATTTTGCTAGATGCACCTTTCTTCATCATTAATATATATACTTGAATCAATGGCATAAAACCTAGAATCAAAGGAAAAGATTTTCAAAGAAATAATGTATTTTCACTATATAATCAATAAAGCCCCGCCCTAGCACCAGAACCCCTCACCCTGGGGCCATAAAATTCACAATTTTGGAAGAGGCTATCTTGCTCATCATAAATATATGCTTTGTTAGTTAATTTAATACCCAGAAGCAGAGAAGAAGATTTTCAAAGAATAAATGCATTTTCACTATATAATCAATAGAGCCCCACCCTAAGACCAGAACCCCTGACCCTGGTGCCAGGGAATTCACAATACTGGAAGAGGCACTCTTGCTCATCATAACTATTTACTTAGTTTATTTTTTCCAGAAACAGAGAAGATTTTCAAAAAATTAAAGCATTTTCACTATATAATCAATAGAGCTCCGCCCTTACACCAGAACCCCTGGCCCTGGGGCCATTTAATTCACAATTTTGGAAGAGGGACTCTTGCTCATCATAACTATGTACTTAGTTTATTTAATACCCAGGAGCAGAAAAGAAGATTTTCAAAGAAATAATGCATTTTCAATATATAATCTATATAGCTCCTCCCTAGCACTAGAACCCCTGACCATAGGGCCATAAAATTCCCTCTTTTGGAAGAGGCTATCTTGCTCATCATAACTATATGCTTAGTTAATTAATTTAATACCAAAGAGTAGAGAATAAGATTTTCAAAGAATAAATGCATTTTAACTATATAATCAATAGAGCACATCCCTTACACCAGAACCCCTGGCCCTTGTGCCATAAAATTCACAATTTTGAAAGAGGCACTCTTGCTCATCATAACTACGTACTTCGTTAGTTTATCTAATACCCAGAAGCAGAAAAGATTTTCAAAGAAATAATGTATTTTCACTATATAATCAATAGAGCCCCGCCCTTACGCCAGAACCCCTGGCCCTGGGGCCATAAAATTCACAATTTTGGAAGAGGGACTCTTGCTCATCATAACTATGTACTTAGTTAGTTTATTTATTATCCAGGAGCAGAGAAGAAAATTTTTAAAGAAATAATGCATTTTTTATTATATAATCTATATAGCCCCACCCTAGCACTAGAACCCCTGACCCAGGGGCCATGAGTTTCACAATTTTGGTAGAGGACTCAATGTTCAATACATTCATGCCAACAGTTTGTCTGCTTGATGTCCCGGAGTAAAGAAGAAGATTTTTAAAGATTGCAATTATTTTAGTGGTTTTGGCCCCACCCCCATGCCCCAGGGGGGCAGAGACCATGAAATTCAAAATTTATATTTCCCTTTACCCATAGATGCTTTATGCCAAATTTGCTTGAAATTGGTTCAGTGGTTTAAGAGAAGAAGCTGAAAATGTTCAAATGTTAACACACGACGGACGACGAACGACGGACGAAAACGGATAGCAAAAGGTCACCTGAGTTACTCAGGTGACCTAATTATAAAAGTATTTGGAATAAGATAACACTGCTAGAATGAGCTGAAATCCTGATGACGTCACAATGCTACTGTAGTCAGGATGACATCATCAGTCTAAAGACTTGGTGAGAAAGTCATCAAACTATTCAACGGCAGTATTTTGTTTCCCCCGCCTTTCATTTCGGAAAACCTCTGGTTTTATACGGATTGTGACGTTAAGATTATGACGTAACAAAAGTTAAGTCTGACAGCATCGGCATTATTAGTTACATTTAAGGTCAAGATCTAGTAAATAACTTTAGACTAATTTTTTGGTGGTAGGCACCTTTCATAAATAAGTAAATATCTACTAGATCTTGACCTTAGGCAATGAAGCAATATTTTTTGAAAGATAAAGTCTGAAATGAAAATTTGTTTGTCCACACCGTTGCAGTTATGAGACTGTATTTTTCAAAAAATAATGATTCATTGCTTATATTTACATTTTTTTAACTTTCTACCTTAGCTGCAAATGTTTAAAAACCTAAATATTATCCTTCCGGCTTCGTGTAAGCTACAGTTAATGGATCAGCCAAAGTAACAGGTTCTGGTCAATTTGAGCGTGATATTTAGATTTTCGCTTGTGACGTTGCACTTCCTCAGCATTCAACGATTATGACGTCAAACTAAAACGCATACTTTAACCTCTTAGCACCCTGTCTGTGTTATGGAGTTTTGAATGCAATAGATTTCCATTTACTTTATATGCAAAAACATAATTATGTAATGAAATATAGTCTTTTAGTGACAGGCTACGGGATAATACGGGATAATGTGGAGAAAAATTGTGTGGTTAGTAAATTTGATACCTGGCGAGGCGGAGCCGAGTCAGATCTATATGATATTTACTAACCAGTATCATCCTGTACACTGTCACTAAAAGACTCTGTAACGAATTTACCCCACCGATGGAAGCATTTACATATTTCATCGCGCTTATACTGTGCCTATTATGACGTCAAGTTGTGTTTGTTACGTATTACATCGCAACCACGTAGCATCGATTTTGAAAGTGGGGGGGGGGGGGAGGCAGCCAAAGAATTTTTTTTTCACTAACCTGAACAAGTTGACAAGCAAAACAAATAAGAAAAAGCAAAAGTGCAAATTCGAAAATCCTATTTCGTTTGTGTGTGTGTGTGTGTGTGGGGGGGGGGGGGGGGGGGGGGTGTAGAGGCCAACTTTTTTCAATGCCAACTTCTTTCAGTACCAATTTTTTATACAACATTTTCCTTATATCACAAAAAGTTGGGGGTCCAACCAACCTTTCAATGAACATTTCCTATAGTATATGTAAGGTTGGGAAAAAAGTGGTAACTACGTGCCTGCATCAACCGGGCATAGTTTTGATAACTGACCGGGTATAAGTTATCCACCTCCTCCACGTGACAGACTTCAACCAATTGTAAGCCAGGGTTTCAAGGAAAAATCAACAGAGGTTAAAATAAAATCTTTTTAGTCCCTGTTAAAACTTTGTTTACACTCCGCGCCTTGGCAAGGAAGAGACAGGGGGCCAGGGTAAATAAAACACCTATTTACTATTCGCCTGCGCCTAGGGAAATAGTTTGCTTGGTGGACGATAAACTTGCTATTGTCTTCATAGCAAGCATAGGCGTCGGAACCGGGGGGTGGGGGTGGGGGGCTTGGCCCATACACTTTTTAGGCATTGAAAATTTGGTTTGCCTTTTTGTGTTGGTTTAGCCCCCCACTTTCAATAGCCCCCCCCCCCCCCCTTCAATTTGCCTAAGGCAAATAAATAGTTTTATATTATGAACTGTTATGAACTGTTTGCGTTCGTTAAGATTATACTGGGGCGGGGCTATTTATAAACTTAAGGAATGAAGCTTATTTCAACGTTTGTTATACGATATAACATAACTTTTGGGCAGTTACGCTTCATTCTTTATAACTTAATTTAAATGTAGACAACAAGACATTTTTTTTTCTCCGGAAAAGGGCTTCAAATTTAGCATATTTGAAAAGTAACCAAGCTCCAAAGTAATGTCAAGCGGAGTAATACATGTACATGATTAACGTGACTCATTGTGACGTAAGCAAGTTATGTTTTACAAAATGGATTAAAATCTTTTAACCAATCAAATGAGGTGTTATAACTAAAATTAAATTACTATCATAATATGTAATTAAATAATATTTTAATAATCCTATTCTTACTAGTGCAATCATATGCATCAGTAATGTCCTGGATGTCGTAATTCGTAAACATAAGGCCAGTTGCAGAATCAGCTAAGAAATCCAATGTGCGGTCATGAAACTCCATCGTCGGTTGGCCATTAGTGGAGAATGCCTGTATCAAAATGACAATTATATCCTCAGGGTTCAACAGAAAGTACATTAACTTTTCTTATATGAAGAGGAAATATTGCATGTAATTTTAATTCTTAAACCGCTGTATACTAAAACATTTGAAATGTTATCTGAAACAAAAAAGAAGAAATTTACATTGATGATAGATTTTTTTATTAGATAAAAAAAGAATGAACAGACCGTTAAACTATACTGAAGCACAGACTCGTAGTCATACGGGTTTCTGTCATGGGTAGAGCTCTTTGCCATGTTATAGTTGCCTGTTCCACCTTGTGTATTCGCCCATAACATGGTGACATGATTATCACGGTCACTTCGGGACTGTTCATGCATTTGGCCTATAGCATGCGTCATCTCATGGATTGTTGTAGAAAGCTGAAATATTTTTCCTTTTTACCATGAGTACCAGACAAACAACAAGTATCTGATGAGACTGTTGGTTTGTACTTAAAACAAAAGGAAGGAATAAAAAGAACTAGAATTTAAAATTTTGCAATAGCAATAAACAGGATTATGTATTAGTATAGTCTACCTCAGTGTCAGGAATCAGACTTAAACTTCAGTAGGACTTTTCAAACAGAAATATTTATTTTCAGTAATCATTCGGCATTGTTTATCGAAATAACAAAGCCAATAAAAAGAATTATGTATCTAATTGTAGTCCACTTTGGTGTCAAGGTACATTAAAATCAGACCAAAATTGTAAGAAGAGTATCTTTTAGAAAGTATTCAAGATCAGAAGTCCACTAAACAATACAAAATAGGAGCAGAACAAACATTGACCTCCAAAACATTGGAGGTGGGATCAGGTGCCATGGAGGCATAGTTCCTCGCAAGCAATTATAAACAACAGAAGTTCATGAATGTGCTCTTTCTCTGTGATTGAAAAAGTTCATCACAATTATGCTTCAAAAATTTCTGATATCAAAGTTGCAGCTCTTAAGTTATGATTGAATATAAAGAACTATATGCGGTATATTGAATTTTAAAAAGAAATTTTGAAAACTTCCTGACACAATAAATGGTGCAACTATGTTCCAGAGCAGTGTATTCACAATTTCCTTTTATAATTATTTTATATCCTTTTTCAAAAGAGGACAAAATCAAAATTTCAACAATTTAAGCTTAAAGTATGTGTTCAGGAACAATATTGACATTATATATTTCAAATATAAAATATTTATCCTGAACACACATGCGCTCGGTGAAAAAATATATGAATTTTTCTGCAAAATTCATAAAAAACTGAAATTTACGTATTTGTGACTGTCAACGTACATATCCATTACTTATGAAATTATTCAGTGCTTTGAAGTCAGCATATACTCCCCTGTTTAAGGACTTAATTAAATATTACTCCATCAAAGTTTGATTTTGGGGGGCAAATGTTGGTTAATACCGCATATAGTTCTTTGAATTTTAAGATTGTACACAATGCAACTATGCCCAGACCCCTTTATAATTATCAAACTCTTGTTAAAGTTTATCTTATATATTTCAAAAATAAAATTTATGAAAAAGTATATTAATTTGAGTTACTGTAACACATCCAGGGTACTGAAGAAATTTGTTGCTTGTCTGAAAAAAATATATATATATTTTTTACGATCTGATCTTATTGCGAGCACCGAGTGTGTATATCCTCCAATTTTTGATGAATAAGAATCTTCCCTGATTTGTCGTTGGGTATGATTTTTATCCAACGAGTTGTGTGATTTTTATAAAAACACACAACTCGTTAGATAAAAATCATATCCGACCGCAAATCATGGGATATCTTTTTTATTCTATGTTTAATACTTCACAATCCATTTTTAACACCGTTTTTATATAGGACTGTCTATTTTACTTCATCACGCTAACGCAAAAACCATTGTGACGTCATATCTCCATATAACTTTGGGATACGAAAACGATATCCAATCAATCACTAGATGGATTATGGAGACGATGAACAGTATTCAATCTCAAAGTCCAAAAAACAGTACAAATTAGGAGCAGAGCAAACACGGATCTCAGAAACATCAGAGGTGGGATCAGGTGCCATGGAGGAGTGAGCATCTCCTGCTGACCGGTCACACCCGCCGTGTGCTCTTTGTCATGATCGGGAAATAACGGGGAAATCCGTCGTCAGTTCAGAGTATAAATAATGGACTATCAATTAGTATGAAAAACGTCCGTCAGCATTTGACTCAATGATAAAATGTATTTGCTGACAAGGCCATTGTATCGACCATAGAACTTACGAAATGACTTTAAACGAGACTGCTGATATTCTTGTTTCATCAACTTGCTTGTCAATAATTTACCTTGCTGTAGGTCCAGTCAAGGGTGTTCAGGGATTTGTCCCCGGTTTATATCCCACACAGCCTAGATCAGTCTCCGGATGTATGGAACACAACCTGGGGTAAATCCCAGTACAACCGTGATAGGACCTTAATACCTAAACAAATAATCTGTACAATTATGTAATTACATATTTATGGTGTTTATTAAACAGGTCTGGACGATTTCCAAATGAAGAAGTCAAGAGCAATAACGGTGAACTGCTATAAATACACAAAATAAACAAGGTGCTAATCCTTCTAACCAATCAGATAACAGCATTTATGCACACCCATAAGAAAATAAATAAAACACGTGGTTTTATAGTTTTTTGCGCAAAAGATTGTTTGGGAACAATTTTTTTTGTAAACTTAATGCACATTTAGAAATACTTAATAAAATATTTATGACAAATCTACGTGAACAAACACGACTTGAAAGCTTAGATGACGTTTTAAGTGGGATTTAAAATCTGTCACTAGGATGTAGCAAAGTTTAACTTACGTTAAAATTTTTTATATAAATACGGAAATTTTTCAGATTTTTGAGCCTGACATAAAACGCTTATCGAATGGATAACAGTCTTAATTATTTTTTGAGTGTTTACAACAAAACCGCCCATGCAGTTTTTCGTATGCGAGGTAAGATAATGGAATAAAACGCATTTCTCGTATAATTATTCTCTTTTCTCCACGTTTTACGCCTTTCCTTATGTCCATTTAAAGGTTGCATAAAATAGTGTTTGGCGCTCATGAAGTCCGTGTTATCTTTAAGGTTTCGTCAAAGGTCAACATGTCCAAACATGTATTTTAACAATAGCTCCAAAACAGTGTGAGGTATAAAGTCAAAACTTTTACAGTTTATAAATATATTATTGATTAACAGATGGAGAGTATCACTTGTAAACAAATTTTAAAAAAATATTTTTTGAGAAAAATTGTGTCAAAAAATGTGCAAATCTAAAGAAAAATGCACCTGCATAATTCTGTCCTTTTTTGAAAATCATTATTGCAGAAATAATATATGTTTATCAATGAAGGGCAAGTTGGACGAAAATGGTCTCGGAAAGGCTGTTATTGAAAGCATGTATAAAGACAATACCTCTACAATATCCGCCATTTGCATCGTACTTTCAGTTTCAAGTATTAATATTTGGACAAAATAAACAGGGAAAACAACTAACCAAAGGCTATTGAACTCCAACTTGCCCTTCATTGATAAACATGTATTTTTTCTGCAATGATAGTTTTCACTAAAAGCACGGCATTAATTGGGGTGTATTTATTTAAAATAAATTGAAATAATTTCTCTTGATAATTTTTTTTTCTAAGTACTTTTTATCAAGTGAGTCTTTCTATCTGTTAATCAACGAAATATTTATAAACTGTAAAAGTTTTAACTTAATAAACCACATAGTTTTGGATCTATTGTAAAAATAATTATTGGACATGTTGACCTTTGACGAAATCTTAAAACTATATGTAATCCATACGATAAACACTTGTGTGAGGTGGGTCTATACACATGGAATTCAAAGTATCATCGATGAAAATCGAATAGCTAAGCAGAATTATATTTGCCAATTGCAACATTTAGTATATTCTGGTAAAGGTTATAATTGAACTTGATTAGAATTTAACTGGTGTGATTTATCCCTCCGTATTTTCGATTACATTGTATCATGCATTATTTTTTCTTTACCGAGATAAAAATGCCAAGCTTGTCTACGGTAAATATGTGGAGAATACCTTTTTTATTCAAAATTTTTCATTTTACCTCTAAAGATTTTTTGTCAAAAAAATCTTTTTGGGGAAAAAAAAAGCACGTGCTTTCTTTTTGTTCTTTTAAAATATGTTTTTTAGTGTGTAAAAATGCTGTTGTATGAATGGACAGAAAAATAATTACGTGTACATGATGTATATTCATAGCAACTTTCAGTTATCGTTCTTGACTTCTATATATGGAAATCGTCCAGACCTGTTAAAGTTAAAATAATATGTGTACCGATCAAACAGTGTATAGAGCAAAATGCATGACCGAAAGGATGACGTGCGCGCGCTTAGATTGTAGAGAGGTTTAAATACTCCGTCACACTACTATGTCACATTGTAACCACATGTAGAATAGAGATAAAGAACAGTATTCAAGCTCAAAAGTCCATACAATACAAAATAGGAGCAGAGCAAACATGGACCTCCAGAACATCAGAAGTCAGATGTACGCACCGTGTGATCGCCGTCTGATAAGAACGCAGTAGAAACGTAGTATGATCGTCGTTGCTCAGCACGGTGAGATCTCCAACAACGCAGTGGGAGCTCCAAATGAACGCTGTGAAATCGATGTATATTGTAGTTGACTGACGTAAGAGAGAAGCGATCTCCGTTAATTCCTTTTATCCTGCAACTACCCCTTATATTGACCTAATAAAGGTAACCTAATAAACCAAAGCTTTTTTCCGGTCACTGCCCTAATAAAGCCTCGTGCATGTATTCCCACGTTCTAAAAGCATTGTGACGTCACGTATATTGCAATGTTTACGCCATGGCGTCATAGTTTCAACTGCAGAGACGTGCCTAAATCTGTCGAAAATAGCTAGTTTTGGACGTTCAAATGTGAAGAATATGTTGCAGGATAAACAAAATACACGATAACTGATTTGAAATATAAGCGATATTTGGGCTCAGGTCGAAAACGTAAGAGGGCTCGGCAAGCCTCGCCCTCTATCACGTTTTCTTACCCTCGCCCAAATATCGCTTATATTTCAAGACAGTAACCATGTATTTTATTTAAGCATTGAATTCATACTATACAATTATGGACTCTTTTGGTGTTGGATATGGTTTGCTATTCACCAGAAAAATATTCATATTGACCGAGGCGTGTGTTATAGAGATTTGAACGTCATGGATTTCTAATGGATTTCATAAAGAAAATTACACTGAATGTAAATATATTGATGTGGTAACAATGTAACGTAGTATTTAAATTTCTAGACAAGCAAAGCGTCATGACGTCACACACAGTGAAATTCTTTAGGTCTTTTTGCATTTTCCTCTATGTAGACTGTCAGTCTTCGCCTAATTGGGGCAGTAGTAAATACTGTTTACAGAATGTCTGCCTTTTCTTTAGGTAATGAAGCGTACGTGTGAGAATTTTTTTTTACCTATCATAACAAATTAATTGCATGGACGTGTCATTATGTAACAATCAAAATTCACAAAAAGCTCAAAACGCCCCATTTAAACGGAAGATTTTACCAATTCTCTCATTGTACAGGTACAATAATCTAAATCTCAGAAGAATATAATCAAAATAATAATTTGTACTTGCTTGCAATGTCAGACAAAGAGAGAATAAATTGATATTTCAAGCAACTCAGCATCTATTTAAAGCACTATATATACGCGTTGCGTACAATCAATTTAGAATTTTGACATCATACAATTATTGGTTTAGCTTTGTTTTTGGTTATATTCATCGAACAAGACAAAAATTCGCTCTCCAAAATAAAGATGGCAATAATAATAGAACAAAATATTTTCAGGCAATTGAAAAAAAACTACGGACCTTTCAGAGAAGAACTCGATGTAGGACTTATGTGAAAGTGACTGCGCCTCTGTTGAGCCTGTGGGAACCCATTTCAGACACGTGTAATCTGTAAACTGTTGAATTGCTGCATTAATAACGTCCAAATTACTTTGAACTCCGGCTGAAAAAAGAAATTTTCACATTTCAAAAGTTGGAATTCTTTGCTGAATTAATTTTAATGTATTTCTACGAAAGGGGGTTTCTGAAAAAATAAAACAGAAATCTCTTCTGAGATTTAACTCTTTATTCAAGATTTTCCAAATGGGATTGAGCGATAATAAAACACTTAGTATGCCATGTCCAAAGTATATTGTAATGGTCTGGTCTGTATCACTATGTCATAATTATCTTATCTGTCCATCAAACAAAAAATTAAAATTTTGAACTGAAAATTTATGATGTAGACTTTATTTTTAACTCATCAATTTTCAACATCAAGCTTAAGGCTATGAGGTAAAAAAAATCATAACTATCCGAAGGGCCTTGTCACAAATATTGCCTGTTTAAAAAATATAAATACGAAAGCTCTGACTCTTCTAATGCATAAGCGTAGGGTTATCATTAAAAGTAGATCAAACAAAATCACGGGGTCAAAAACATGGTATTTCAATAGATCCTGTCATAGATTATGCACTTATCAAATATGAACACTATCTTCTCTCGTTCAAACGACTTCACTTTTTTAGAAAGGTTACAGGGTAAAAAATTATGGTATATTTGGAAAAATCCTGTCACAGGTGAAGAACATGTGAAATATGAAAGCCCTGTCTTTTCTCAATTAAAAGTTACAACCAAAGCCTGACAGACATACAGAATGATGGACGAATGAAATTATTTGTCCCTTTACTTTCACAAAATTGAGGAACAAAAAATTAACAGTCTATGAAGAACCAACACAGAATTACTTGACGAACAAGAGCGAAAAGTCGCGAGAAAAGCTTAAAGCCTCGAGTGTATCAAATTTAATTTCTGAACTAAGAGTTCAGAGCAATGTTCTCATTGAAGACATGAAATTATGACAAAATCTTTTTCGTGGATATTGATGATAGTTCCAAAATACATCTCTGGAGATTGAGGATAGTTCTTGATTAGCTTTAAAGCTTTTTTATTTTGCCATAGAAAATCTAAATTAAAAATGTTTAATTTGCTAATTATATAGATGCTTTAGGGCTTCATATTTGCTGTTAATAAATGCAAAATATAAATATCTTTAAAAACATGTCAAGAAGGATCAGAGAGTCCTCTAAAAAATAATTTATGACTATAAAAAGATATTGCTACTATTTTTTAAATGCATTGATCAGATTAAATTTCTAAGAAACAAGATTCCCATAGAAAAAAAATATCAGGCGATTACATTTTATAAAGAAATACTCAGTAGAAAGGAACTTTGAAAAAAAAAAATATGAAAAAAATGTTAATTTTCGGACTGATGCCGACCAAACTTATGTAAGGTTTCACCAAAGGTCAACTTGCCCAAAAATTTATTTTTACAAAAGCTACTAAACTGTATGGTTTATAGAGTTAAAACTTTAAAGTTTAAAAATATGTCATTGATAAACAGAAATAAAGTATCACTTGATAACAAATACTTAAAAAAAATATTTATGGAGAATTATTCTTTGTAAAAAATGCATATACTTTTACAAAATACACACAAGTACATCCGAACTTTTAGTGAAATTCATCATTGCAGATACGAAATATGTTTATCAGTGATTGAGTGCCAAAAGGACCTCGATAGCCTCTAGAAAGTCGTTTTCCCTGTTTATTTTGTCCAAATGTTTAGACTTGAAACCGAAAGTACAATGCAAATGGCGGATTTTATAGGGGTCTTGTCTTTATACATATCATGCTTTCAAGAAACAGCCTTTCAGAGAGAAAAAGATTTATGTGAAATATGAAAAAAGCTTTGCAAACTCAACTGCATTGTAAGGCAAGAAAAGAACTACAAAATGTAAGTGCCAGAAAAAATAAACTTAAGGTCTTCTCTATTGCTTAGTTGTTATGATCGTTAATGTCAACAATATCAAGGTCACGCGTCTTTTATTTTTAGCGCTTAACCTAAAAGCAACATTGAATTTTATCAAGCAAAAGTAGGAAGAAATTCTGATCATCTACTTTGAAGATTATATTTAAGTCCTCGGTCATCCGACATTCATATCTATGGAATTTACACCATGGTAAATCCTAGAACTTTTTTGCGCATGAGTACAGTAAAGAAGAAGAATTGAAGCAATAATTTTGGGTTATAGATGGACATTCACAAAAAGTCAGATTAAAATGATATTTATAATGCACTTGAATGTAACAAATCATTGCTGTTTGATTTCACACTATACTTCGCATATGACTCACATAAACTGCCGTCGATTGTGTATGGAATAATATTATCGGGCCAAAGTGGAGCCGTTTTTAAGAAATTTCTCCTTCTTCTTCCACCACCCTAAATACATGTGAAAAAAAACAAAAAAAAAAACAGAGGTTACATTAATTTATATATTATAAGCAAAAACAAGCATTCGATAACATAATAGCAATATACGAGGTATACGTATATTGGTTGTCCTACTAGCTATACAAAGTCTGGGTCCGTAAACAATTTCAAAGAATTTTAATAAATACTCATTACAGATTATTCACCTGAATAAATAATTTTTTTTTTAAAAAATCAAGTAAATAAAATAATTTTTTCAGTTTTAGAAGAAGAAAAAAAACCCTGCAGAGAGAAAGGCCTGACTGCACCGCTTTAATTTCACTTTTCCTAGGAAGGACACTTTTTCTTTGAAAAAAAAGATATCCTGCTTTTCTCCGTAAAACAAATGGTTTTCTACTATTTTGTTGACTGGCCTGCTATTCCAGGATTTTTATTTTCACAAACTATTCTGCTTTTCCGCGGTTAGTTTTTACTCTTTGTTATGCGTTATCTCCTCTTTTTTTGCCAATTAGCGATTTTTAAATGGTCGCGGTTAGCATCAAAATCAACATCAAATGGTTGCCGATATTAATCTGTATTTCCCTCATAGCGTACTGGTAGTGAATCACATTGTGATAAAAATTGAGAAACTCTCGCTTTTTACACTGTCTTTGATAAATTGTAGGTTTTAGACGTTATGGAAATTGTTTTTACAGAAACAATTTATTTTACGATGTACTTACATACAGAAAGGTTACCGTAGCTCTTTCAAAGGATAAATAACACACATTTTTTCTTCAAAAATTCAAATATCTTTGTAAAAATAGGTGCTTCTCCCATTTAAATGTACTTTTTGTTAAGTTGAAGCAACATAATTTTTTGAAAAGTGAAAAATACTAAATAAATATACGGTTCAATATATATTTCTTTTTCTTACTACAAAATTTCTGGGGGTCATTTTCATATTACACAATTATATTTTCTTAATTAAAATTCCATTGAAAGAACTATTTAAAATAAAGCAGAGTAACTCATCTGTATTAGAGATAAGAAAATTTGTTTATGGTAAGCTTACATGTATGTGACCTAAACGGTGTTCTGCTGTTCAACTATTTTGATAGGTACCATTTTGGTTAACTAGGTAATTACCTACTTACCAGAGAGAAACTGAAGCAGATTTTTACATTTGCAAGTTTTTTAAAGATGTATAAAATCGTTAAATGACCATGAAAATATAGATTGACATAATTTAAATGTCAAGTACTCTCGAAAACCATATACATGTATACAGGTTTGATCGCCTGCGTGACACACTGCAGTGGAAACCCGTCCTTCGGATAAGGCTGTATAAAAGGAGGTCCCGTGTCGCAGTGGGTGCTAGCACGATAAAGGCCCCTCACTGCTCAATGATACAAAGTGCCGAGTACAGGCCTAAATTTGCAGTCCTCCTGCAACAAGATGCAGTGACTCAATATGACTGAAAAATCTCAAAGGGGCTTAAACAAGTTAACAAAAGATTTTGAAAAGGAAAACCCTAGAAAAGCAGCAGGACAGAATGCAAAAAAACTATTAATTTGATAATATTTCCATTTCCATTTGTTTTCTCTGTGTTTTACTCTTTGAAAGTTAGCCGAGTTGATTTCTTGATATTTCAACAGTTTTTTTTTTTTCGTTGAATGTTGAATAATTTACATTGTTTAAATATGTCATAAAAACTGAATTATAATAAAAAGTTTTGAAGTAAAAGGTTCTGTCTGACCTTTTCTAAAAACCTGATGAGTGGCATATCTTTTGGGAATACCAGAAAAACCTTTTAGTATATGTATCTTTTTTCAAAGAAGTCTTAATTTTTCACTGATAAATGTTAACAGATGTTAGAAAACTATCACATTGAAGAGTAGACTATATATTTACACACACACAAATAGTTCGTCTTGAAAATCATAAGCCTTTGCGCATGTGGCGCAGGTGAAACTATTTATCTTGTTCACATCTATAGAAGGAACCTGTCTCTTATGCATTGAAATACTCCTTAAAATACTTCGATATCACTGCAGTACTCCAACACCTTTTACACACGTCACTGTTTTACACACGGCACGCCCTAGAGAATTTTAACCATGTTCATATGACGACTACTACTAGTATGTTTTGGTGAGAAATTCTTAATTATCTGAGTCGAGTGTGATGATGTAAAGACTCAGCAGAAAATTCAAAAACTCTTTATTACAAATTCATTTGCTGACTTACTTTGCCTTTTAACTCGTTGAGTTGTTGCTTTGTTAGTTTATGGTTGTCATGGGTGTCACCAAAGACTTTCCCTTTCCTGCGAGCTATCTTTCCAATCCCATCAGGCTAAAAAAAAAAAAACGCTATTGTGCATTTAATATCTAACGAATAAGTAAGTGAATTCTTAAATATTTCAAGAACAAATGCTTATTATTGCTGTTGTATGCAGAATATTTAAGTAATCCCCATTTGCTATATGGAACGATTAAACTTCTTTTCTTCGGCAGGCTTTGTAGACTAGATTCCAACTATCTTTCGAAAAAGATATTAACTTTGCACACATTCACCTTCCTCTATCAACTAACTGGAACCGGGGACCAAATGGGATTCATCCCAGATGTATTATTCCTTCTCCAGTCTTACCAACTTTCACATTACTTGAACACCTGGCTATCTTCCAGATCGTTCCAATAAAAATTATCATGGAAATATATATATATATATTTTCACAAAAACCGCACTCTTCATTGCATCGATCGCAGTGAGTTTTTTTCCCAACCTTTTTTAATTCAATGCTGTAATTTTGTATATCAAAGTTGGGAAAATTGCGAATTCTTACAGTGAAATTCATCCCCAAATTTATTGTTTCAAAACCCTCTCAAAATTCGCTTGCATGCATTTTATACGGTAATCGATTTCTGACATTTGTCCCATGCAACAATATCCTGTCAAGCCCTTTTGAATCAACGTAATGTTTGGTGGAACTCCCTATCCCATTCCGAATCGTTTAACGTTCACCTTGAAGCTGAATTATGCGGTCGTCCCAGAGGCATCGTCGTAAACCACGGCCAAAATGTACGATGCTCTCCCATTCTGGAAAGAGCTATATATGCAGACTCCGGACCGTGGCTTGAGACGATGTCCCGGCCAGAGGATGAGTTATTATAATAGGGTGATATTTATCAATATACGTATTTATGATTAATAATTGATATTAAAGGTCAATATTGTGTTTCTTGATTTTATGATTATTTCACTTGATCATCATTTACATCATCATCTACATCATCTACAAAATCATCATCGTTTTGTTTATAATTGAATTCAAATACAATTGGATACACATTCCTGTATTGCCCTATTCTCCCTTGGTTCTTTAATTGTACTATATATTGATCATTAGTTGACATATTCAATTAATGCCTATGGCTATTTTACCTTTGTGGTCATTTTCAGACATGTGATTCATGCCATGTGAATTTAGGAACCAATAGATTTACATTATATATTTTTCCCACGTTTGGTGAACTGCCTTTGTTCACTACAAAGTTCCTTAGAGGAAAGTCCCATATAGTGTTTATGTATTTGTCAAAGACTGTATCTATATGGAGTCTGCCATATTTGAGTAATCTTGACTGACCGGAGTGATGAACTGACAGATAGTATGTTCATTCTACATTTTATTATCTTGATTAATATCTTATTTAATATTTCTGTAAATAATCTAATTTATGCAGTTTCTATCATTCATGACTAAATTCAGTTGATTTGATTATAAAGTGTCTTTCTCTTAGATTGTGATTTACGTGTAGATTGTGACTTACCTGTAGATTGAGACTTATTTACGTGAAGGAAGTGACTTACGTGTAAATCGTGACTTACTTACGTGTAGATTGTGACTAATGTGTAGATTGTGACTTACGTGTAAATTGTGACTTATATGTAGATTGTGACTTACATGTAGATTGTGACTTACGTGTTGATTGTGACTTATGTGTCGATTGTGACTTACGTGTAGATTGTGGCTTAATTTCGTGTAGATTGTGACATATGTGTAGGTTGTGACTTACATGTAGGTTGTGACTAACGTATTGATTGTGACTTACGTGTAGCTTTTGACTTAAGTGTAGGTTGTGACTGAGTGTAGATTGTGACTTACTTGTAGTTTGTGACTAAAGTGTAGTTTGAGACTTATGTGTAGATTGTGACTAAGTGTAGATTGAGACTTACATGTACATGTAGGTTGAGACTTACGTGTAGATTGAGACTAACGTGTAGATTGTGCCTTACATGTACATGTATATTAAGACTGACGTGTAGATTGTGACTTACGTGTAGATTGTGACGTACGTGTAGGTTGTGACTTACTTGTTGATTTAGACTTACATGTATATTGAGACTTACGTGTTGATGGTGTCTGTTTCCCTCATCCACAAACATACTCTCTAGAAGATTAACCACGTCAGAATTTGGGTCAATTTTACCCTGAAAAAAATATAAGCATGGCTCTTAACAAAATCAAATTGCAGATCTCATTTTTATGTTATATAATCATTGTTGCTATTATAAGGTAAATACAAGGATTGCAATATTTTGAAGCTGGCTAATTCATCAAAATGTCCAAAAAAAGAGTAAATAATAACATAATTTATAATACATGTATGTCGTGAAATACATGTTAATCTTAAATGGTTTATGTCTGCAGTGTTCTGAGTCACTTTTAATATATTCTTGAAAATTAAGCAGACATTGAGCAGTAAAAACGGAGTTGTATATAACTGAGTTTTTCTGATTTTTCCCGTCGTCCGTCTGTCAGTCCTTCCGTCCGTCTGTTTACTTTTCACATTTGTGACTTCTTCTCAAGAACCACTGAGCCAATTTTAACCAAACTTGGTACAAAGCATCCATAGGTAGAAAAGGAGTTTAAATGCTTAAAATTAAGGGCAAAGACCTCTCACAAGGGAAAATAATTAAGGAAAGACAAAAATAGGGTGGGGCCATTAAAAAATCTTCCCAAGAACCACTAGGCCAGAAAAGCTGAAACTTATGTGGAAGCATTTTGGGATAGTGTTAATTCTAAATTGTTAAAATCACGACCCCGGGGGTCACAATAGGGAATCAAATTTTTACATAGAAATATATAGGAAAAAAACTTTAAAATATCTTCTTCGCAAGAACCACTGGGCCAGAAAAGCTGAAACTTATGTGGAAGCATTCTGGGGTAGTGTAGATTCTAAATTGTTAAAAATGTGACAAGGGGGGTGTACAGCAAGGCCACAATAAGTATTGCAAGGGAGGGAATCTGGTAAAGAACGACATCACCAAAATTACTCAGGTGAGCGATGTGGCCCATGGGCCTTTCTTTCTTGCAATGAAATGTTTTATACTGGTTCTGTAATTTCTGTTTCTGCACTCACACAATTCTTAAACTTTTCTGAATTTAAGCAGATTGATCGGAGTTTTCTTGTATATCCAGAAAAGGTAATTAAAAGTCGGGGTCTGTAATTGAAATTTTTATATACTAGTCTACTAAATATATGTTAAATAATTTAAAGTTAAAATCGGCTCATATTTTCCCTGGACTTTCAGAATATATTAACTATATTTGCTTCAATGATGATGACAGAAATTTATGAAAAAAAAATAAACAGATTTCAGAACCAGCATCTAACTTAACAGTTATGTTAAAAAAAAATCAAATCAAAAATGAAAACTTTTCTTTTGTAGAATCTTTCAATGGAAGAACGAAAGTATGATTCAGAATTTTAGAAATTTTAGAAATAAAGGTCTAAACAAAAATCTGGACCAAAATTTAAAATTTCAATAATTAGACTTTATCCCTAAATACTTAAGTCTTAATTTTTTTTTACATAACCGAAGTCATAGACATTCTGCTTGGCCTTTCGACCATTTTTGAATTGTTTAAACAAAAACCAGAAGTCTCTTTTGAGACCAAAGCTCTACTGGTTTGTACTTATAACAAATGAAGAGAAAAGCAGCAGATGGGACTTGGAACTTTACAACAGCAATAAATAGATTGAATGTTTAATGACCCTTGATTAAATCTCTTTTTCTGGCAATATATTGCTATTAGATCAAAACTGTAGGAGGAGCATTTAATAACATTTTACAGTATTAGTATTGAAATCAGACCAAAACTGTAGGAGGAGTAGAATTTTTAAAGTATTTCACCAAAAATTCTATTCTTAGTAACAACGGCAACCCCCTTCATCGAAATCAAAAAACCAATATACAGAATTATGTATCTTTGTGTAGGATAGGGCGTCAAAATCATAGTGTACATGTATTTAGGTCTTGTCACAGATAATGCACGTTTGATATGAATTCAAAAGTTATGGCAAAGTTACATAAAAATTAAAGCAAAACTATGAAGGTGAAAGTATTTCATTTTCACAGAAACTTTTATTGTATAAAACTTTGTTTATTTAAATTTAAAACAAGATATGTTAGTGAAACACTTTGGCTAATGGCAACATGTAGCGAAGGTTAAATTTTCTCAAATGCAAATTAAACGTGTTGATACCCTAAGTTAACTAACGTCTTCTCACAAGAAATAGGAATGGGAAAAAACCCTAGCAGCACCTGTTTAAAAGTTATGGCTAAGTCTTACGTTTTTAAAAACTCTGGGGTCAAGGTCAAAGGGTAGCGGTTGATAGTTTCAAATAAAGACCTTGTCAAAAAGATGATATGTGGGGAGTCTGAAAGCCCTAGTCCTAACCGTTCAAAATTTATTGCCAAGGTTAAAGATTTTTAAAGTACATCAAACTCCAAGATCAAAAGGTCAAATTTGTTGGTATCTAAAGACAGGTCTTGTCAGAAGAATTTACTATCTAAAGTATGGAAGCCTTAGTCCTTACAGCTCAAAAGTTACGGCCAATGTTAACGTTTTTTTAAAGTTGGTCAATTTCCAAGGTCATGATCAAAAGGTAAAAGTTGTTGGTATCAAATCAAATCATGCCAAAACTAGTGGAACTGTATTTTGAAAACAAGATGTGTTTGTGAAAAACTATGCGCCCGACGGCAACAAAGTTCATAAAAGCTATTTTCGCTTATAGGACACAGCCAATCTCACAATGTCATTGACCTTGGTGTCATTTGAAAGAACTTAATTAGTGGAGTATGCGTACTAAATAGGGAGTCTCTATCTCTTACTGTTCAAAAGTTATAGCGAAGGTTCAGAAAGAATATTTTTACGATATAGGTCACAGTCAAGGTCACAAGGTCATTGACCTTGGTGCCATTTGAAAAAGCTTAATTAGTAAAGTATGCATACTAAATATGAAGTCTCCATCTTTTATATGGTTCAAAAGTTATGGCGGAGGTTAAAGTTGACATACAAAAAGACAGTAGACATGACAAAACAAAATGCGCCCCCGATCTATCGATTGCATGAAAATGTTTGCAGACAGACAGACGGACACCTTACAATCTTTTTCAGGTGTCTATGGTCTCCAATCAGTAGAGCTTACTACATGTATAGCACAATGCATTTGTGAAACACTGATGCTCCCATATGGCAGCTTATAGCAAGGGTTGAATGCTCTCAAATGCGTGTAAAACTCTAAAGGTCAAAGCCAAAAGTGTTGGTACCCAAAGGACGGTCTTGTTACAAGTAATACACATGTGAAATATAAAAGCCCTATTTGTAACTGTTCAAAAGTTATGACCAAGACTAGAGTTGTTTTAAAAGTGTGTTCAAACTCTTAGTTCAAGGTCAAAAGGTCAAAAATATTAATACCAACGGAATGGTCTTGTCATGATGAATAACCATGTGAAGGATGAAAGCCCTAGCTCTAATTTATCAAAAGTTATGGCCAAGGTTAAAGTGTGGTATTTTTGTAATAGTGGGTCAAACTCCAATGCAACGTCAAGGTCAAGAGGTCAGTTTGGTGGTACCCATTGAAAGGTCTTGACACAAGAAATACGCCTGTGAAATATAAAAGCCATAGCCCCACCCACTTAAAAGTTATTGGCTAGGTTAAAGTTGACAACAGACAGAGAGAAAAACAGACAGACAAACAAACAGGACAAAAACAATATACCCCCGGAAGCTTTCGATCCGGGGGGCAAAAAAATTAAAAGAACAGAAATCGTATTCTTCAGCATTGAGGAGTCTGTTTAGGGTCTGTTTCCTACCTTGAGAGCATCATCTATTAGTTTAGCTCCGCCTTTGTAGTTGCTTTCCTTGCCATTATCTTCGTTGTCTTTGCTTTCTTCATTTTCCTCTTCCATTGTTCTTAAGGCTTGAAGCATTAAACGGTCAATATCCTTCTCTTCCTCTCCGAAATTATTGTCTCTTGACATCTGAATGAAAATTAACAGACCTTGACAACTTAATCTAGATTTATAATATCAACAGGCAAATTCAAAGAACCCTCGCTATCGGTGTCATAGGGGTGAATTGCCATTATTTATTGCATAATGTGTCAAATATGAATGCTTTAATCTATGTCATTCAAAAGTAATCACAGATTCATTTTTTTAATCAGGCCAAACGTCAAGGTCAAGTTGTTTAATTCATAGTATGCCCGAAAACATCTTTTTACAGGTAATGCACATGTCAAATATGAATATTTTTTCAATCAAAAGTTATAAGCAAAATTAACATTTTTGAAAAGTAGGACAAACTTCATTGTCAAGGTCACATTGTCAAAGTAATGATAGATTGAGAAAGGTCATATAACAGGTAATACACCTAGGAGACATGTGAGTCGTGTCACTGAGATCATTAAACTCACCTTGGAGACGTGGGACTCATGTCTCTGTCTGAGATCATTGAGGATCCGTCTTGCCTCTGTTCTACCAACGACTGTAAATGTAAGAAATATTGCTTAGTAATTCTATTTATTGAGAAATGTGTATTTAATAAATACAGAATACTAGGGATTTGTCCCATCAAACAGACAATCGGTCGCATTTATCTCGTCATTGCAAATGAGATGAGTGAACATTACGAGCGACAAACCTGTAGCGCAACAAACATGCAGGTGAAAAATTATGATCTTCGTCATGAAATAAAAAAATCTAACAGTTTTTATTTACATGCTCTTGATTCCGCTTCAAGCCCTTCTGCCTGTATTAGTCCAGCTCGGCACGTGGTATTTTTAACCGCGATTATCGATGAACCAGTAGATTGATGTAGAAAGAAAATATTTTTGCAATTTGTTATTTTATCTTGGACAAAGACATTGTAATATAAAAGAATAAAGGAAAGGTTAGGCTAAGACCCCTTTTTGTCCTCTGTTTTGGGATGTCTTTTAGAATTAAACATTAATTAAAACTTAATCAATAAAAACTTGTCGCCCTGACACAAAATTAGTATCTGTTCTTAGCTATGGAATACACAAAGGTCACTGGAAGGTCAGAAAATATGTCAATTTTTTTTTATTCTCTCATTTTTATGCAAATTGTCATCCATTTCACAGCACATTTTAATTCAGAAAAAAATAAAGCACAAGGTTGCCTATCTGCCAAATCTATAAATCACACCCTTGCATTAGATGCATCTTATGTATAAAAATTTCAGATAGGCAAGCTTGTGCTCTATGTTTTCCGAAGTGAAAACTATTTCAAATTTGACAAAAATCCAACAAAATTGAGAAAATTCGAGAATACATGTGGTATCGAGGGTGGGAAGAGGGATCGGGGCAGGAACCATGGGAACCAGTCCCTAATTTTTCTCGAGCCTAACCGTTTACTGTTGAAAAGCGACCGATCCCTTTGTCGCACATGGTAATTGCAACCCGGAGGACCGGGCTGCTCTATACATATAAGTTTAAGTGTTGGTGTATTGGAGATCGAGGTGGGAGTAGTTATTTAGAATTAAAGGTTTTCTAAACATTGAAAAGATTGTTAATCAGGATGTTCTTTCCGTTTATAAATTACGAGATACATAATACATTTACTTCCATAAAGTGAATCTGTAAAAATGTATATGTTTTTCACATTTAATATATAAAGTTGTTTATCATTTACTATCGAAAAACGACAGGTCCCTTTTTTCAGAACATCAAATTTTACTTCTCGGATAAAAACGTACTCTGCACAGTTCATGCTTTATATTCTAAAATTGAAAATTAATACATTTTTAAATATAGGTGATGCGTGTGTCTTACTTCAATTTGTATTTTATGCAGCCAAACTTTACTTGAGGAATTGATCAAGTTTAAAATTGTATCGTTTTTGATTGATTTTTATCCGACTACGTTTTCAAAATATTCGCGACTATCGTCTTCATCAATAAGACGCATGCCTTTTCACACATATCGAGGCAGTTTGATGAGCAAGACTCATTTTCATTGTTTACTTCATATATTTCCCGGGCGACAATTGATGGTTACATCAATGTTTTCTTGTTGATACTTTGTTGTATGTTAACTACGTGCGCATTAAAAATGCATCTTTAAATTTATTTTTTCTTGCATGGATAGAAAAAAAAAACATTTAAATATTATGAAAATTGATTTTGGTCAACATATAATGTTTGATAAATATAAACACCTGTTCCACATTTTTTTTTAAGTATCAAATATCTTTGAATTCATCTTACCATTAGAATTATTGTTTTAAAGTTATATTAAAGTCATATTCAATAAAATAACAATGCTGCACCAATCCAATGTATCTCCTTTTTCTTACATACTAGTACTACTCACTATTATTTCTGACTGTGTGGGCATGAGCTGCAAGGCATTGCAGAGTAACAATGGCCAGCAAACTCAGAAGCCTCATATTGGTTCCCATATCGGCTAGGTATATGGAATGGAAACAGAAGTTAACTCTTTTCTATATGACGAAAATCTTGAACATGCGCATATAAGTATTTTCTGATTAAAATGAAAGTTTTTGTTTGGGGCTAAACTGACTTTGTTTGAGTATGGAGTCTGTTTGATGTATACCCACGTTGGTGGATCGAAGGTCACGTAAATTGGGTTTCATGAAATTCTTAAAAAGTAGGTTTGTCAGTCCAGTGTATCCCGGGGGGTTGTTCCGTCAGGGTCCAGTTAGGTGGACACAGCTTTGAATGAAATTTACATTAACATACTACTTGTAGTTTGATAATCATCTCAGCCGAGAAGACCACTTTGTCACGAAGCTTTCTATTTTACAAGCTAGAATTGTCTAGAGATGCTATTTTATCAAACACATTAAAATTTCTAACACTGAAAGAGTTCTTTATCAGTAAAGTATTGTTTAGATCTCATGGTACGGATTTTTCTTTATCGTGGATGGTGGCCTTCTGAAAATTATGATGAAAACTTTCTAAATTTGTTTTCTAAGGAATTAAATACAAATAAATATCACGGGGGATGTAGATATTAATCGAGAATATTGATCTATGGCTATTAATAATTAGAATCCATTATTAATTTTCATTTTAAAATTTGAATTTTAGAAGTAAAACTAAGGGAATTCAAGTATTCATAAATGAACTAAGCATATTTTATGTCAATTGGTTATGTCCATTTTTCTGATCAAATGCAATTTCAAAGTAAGTTCATTACGTTTATAGAACAAAATGTAGAGTAGAAAAAAGAGAGTTGTATTAAATGTATAGAATTAAAGCTCTAAAAACTTATTATGCGCCCTTTCCTACATGTAAATTACAAAGACATGTACATGGAAGATATGGAGATAATGTACCCTGTTTAAAATTTAAATTTTTAAATATTATCGAATAAAGAAACCTTTACACGCTCTGGTTTTGGAAAGAATTGAGCTGTAATTATATTCAGTCACAAATAAGAGTTTGTGAAATACTGATGACCCCGTAAGGCATAAAATGGCAAAGTTGAAATTCTCAAATGCACTTGTCAAACTCCAAGATAAAAAAGTCGTGCAACATTATTCGTCTTGTCATAAGTAATACACTTGTGAAATATGAAAGCCCTTGTACTACTTGTTCAAAAACCATGGCCAAAGTTAAGGGCTTTAAGAAAGTCGGCCAAATTCTATGGTCAAGGTCAAAATCAGAAATATTTATACTCTTTGAAAGGTCTTGACACAATGAATACGTGAAATATAAAAGCTGTTTTAAAGTTATGGCCAAGATAAAAATCTGGTATTTTTTGTAAAAGTGGGCCAAACTTAAAGGTCGAATTGGTGGTACTCGAGGAAAGGTTTTGTCACAAGGAAGAGACCTGTACAATATGAGAGCAATAGTAGTCCCAGCTACTCAAAAGTTATAGGCAAGGTTTAAGTTATTGCGGACAAAGAGACAGACATACAGCTGGACATAGGGACAGACGGACAGACAGGGTAAAAACTATATACCCCAAAATTGTCGATTACGGGGACGTAAGAATTGATTAATAATGGTATATTTCAACAAAAAAAGGAAAAATCCCGGAAGGTGAACTACAATTATACAGTAAATCTTCTGGAGGAATTCACTTCACTAAAGGAACATCTACTCTATAATAACTGAATATATTTTCATTTAAAATTGCTGGAAGTATTGATCCTGGGTCTATCAATTGCCGTATTATGCGTATTATATCTCATTCGTTTGTTTATAAATTTTCCACCTTTTTAATAAGTAAATAGTAAATATCCTTATTGTTTATAATTGTATATACATGTTCGTAATTACATGTTATCATACTTCACAAATTTTCTGTCTATATATAAAGTTTAGGAGAACAAACAATCAAATAATTTTTTACTTCGCAGTAGCATTTACTTATAGTTTATTGTTGTTCATGATGTTCTTTGATTAATTTTCACATACCTTGTATATGGTAAGGTAGATCGTTTGATGCTGGATTCAAGCAGGAAAAAAAATTAACAACTTGAACTATCATCAAATTTACATCTTGAGCAACTTTTGAACTAAAATCATTTTCTAATGAATTCTACTGGCTTCTCAAATGACTCTTACATTGATTACTGGTAAATATTTTGTTTGAGAAAATAATTGTTTTTGAAAAACTGAACGGATGTCGCTCGCTTTTCAGGTCTACCAATGGCGTCCAAGAAAAGTGAAATGTAAAACATGCTCATAATCCTGAACACCATTGATGAACCCATAATATATATTACAATAATTGAAACAGACAACGAGACAAAAATATTCTGCATGGGGAAATACTAAATGATATACAACCATTAATTACCGTACGAGTAACATTACAATGCAAATCCATTTCATGTTCACTCTGAAAACGTTTGACGTTGTGACAAAATGACGTCATTTTGAACCTGAAAAAGTATTTTTGATAAAAATGAAGAAAAAAAACCTATTTAAAGTTGACGTAGGACCATAAAAATTTCATATTTGACAACTTCTAACCTTCATCAAAATC